ACACCCTAAAACCTGGGGCACCCCAAAACCCGGGACACCCCAATCCCAGACACCCCAAAACCCCGGACACCCCAATCCCAGACACCCCAAAACCTGGAGAACCCCAAAACCCGGGACATTCCCAGTCCCGAGACACCCCCAATCCCAGACACCCCGAATCTTAAGGTACCCCCAATCCTGGGACACCCCAAAACCCGGGACACCCCAATCCCAGGCACCCCAAATCCTGTGGCACCCCAAATCCCTGGACAACCCAATCCCAGACACCCCATATTCTGTGGAACCCCAAAACCCGGGACACCCCAAATCTTGTGACAGCCCCAATCCCAGACACCCCGAATCCTATGTTACGCCCAATCCTGGGACACCCCAAAACCTGGAGAACCCCAAAACCCAGGACATCCCCAGTCGCAGACACTCCCAATCCCAGGACACATCAAAATCTTTTGACACCCCAAATCCTGGAACATCCCAAAACCCAGGACATCCCCAATCCCAGACAGGCCAAATCCTGTGGCACCCCCAATCCCGGGACACCCCAATCCCAGACACCCCAAATCCTGTGGAACCCCAAAACCTGGGACACTCCAAATCTTGTGACACCCCCAATCCCAGACACCCCGAATCTTAAGGTACCACCAATCCTGGGACACCCCAAAACCTGGAGAACCCCAAAACCCGGGACATCCCCAGTCCCGAGACACCCTCAATCCCAGACACCCAGAATCTTGAGGTACCCCCAATCCCGGGACACCCCAAAACCTGGGACACCCCCAACCCCAGACACTCGAATCCTGTGACACCCACAATTCTGGGACACCCAAAATCCTCTGACACCCCAAATCCCGGGACACCCCAATTCCAGACACCCCATATTCTGTGGAACCCCAAAACCCGGGACACCCCAAATCCTATGGCACGCCCAATCTTGGGACACCCTAAAACCTGGAGAACTCCAAATCCCGGGACACCCCAATCCCGGGGCACCCCAAAATCATGTGGCACCCCAAATCCTGTGACACCCCCAATCCCAGACACCCCGAATCCTGTGGCACCCCAAATCCTGCGACACCCCAAATCCTGTGGCACCCCAAAATCCTGTGGCACCCCAAATCCTGCGACACCCCAATCCCAGACACCCCGAATCCTATGGCACGCCCAATCCTGGGACACCCTAAAACCCGGAGAACCCCAAAACCCGGGACATCCCAATCCCAGGACACCCCAATCCTGGGACACCCCCAGTCCCCAGACACCCCCATTCCCAGGACACTCCAAAATCCTGTGACACCCCAAATCCCGGGACACCCCAATCCCAGACACCCCAAATCCTGTGACACCCCAAATCCCGGGACACCCCAATATCCTGGGACACCCCAATCCCGGGGTACCCCAAAATCCTGTGGCACCCCAAATCCCGGGACACCCCAATATCCTGGGACACCCCGAATCCCGAGACATCCCCATTCCCAGGACACCCCCAACCCCAGACACCCCAAATCCTGTGGCACCCCAAATCCCGGGACA